GATGAAAAGTACCAAATATCCTGGAAATAATCTATGTTGTCTTGGATTTTTTTTTCATTTTAGTCACTCAGATCCCCTACGTATTTTTTCAAGACGTGTGAGCAAAATCTGCATATCTCCATGTATATATAATAATAATGATCAGATTCCATGTTGCTGTGATAAATGCATCCACAGAGGTGTTGTGTATGTAATGAACACTTACTTTCTAGAAGATTAATTTTTCTGGAAAATAAAATAAATTCTACTTGATGGAATGGTTACTGATGGGCTGTGGCCAAATTAATGTAGTCAATTTGCCCGAAGCCGTAGCTTATAGAAGTGCTGTCCTGTATTGTCACGAAAAACTCCTGGAAAATGATTTGTAAAAAATAGTGGGAACCCTGATAAGTCGGAGTTAGCCCTTTCTGTAATATCATACCTAGCACACCACAGCTGCCGTCCATATTTTTTCTTTGAATATCTGCTCATGTGTTAACTGATCAGAATATCTGTATTTAGTTTTTGTTTTTGTTTTTTTGAAAGTGGAAATCATTTTAACTGACTGCGACTCGCATTGAGATTATTTATTGCTTATTGATTATTGTAACTTACAATGGACTCTAAATGTCACAAAAATATTATGACTACTGAAAAACCCCACATTTGAACTATTCACTTCAGATGGTTTTTGAAGTAGAATTGTAGGGTTTAGAGATATTAATATGTTGATTAATAGGAAAATTTTAATATAACTTTAAATAGACATAGGTGTAATTACTAACAAATGAGTGCAGTACTGAAAACACTGGCAGCATGTAATGGCTTCTATGCTGTGTTTAACATTGCGTGCCACTGAGGCAAATTGGAGGAAGTCGCATATTGTGATGAATGAGAAATAAGTCTTCATTTTGATAAACACTGTCACTAACAGTACCACCAGAGTGTGATTAAGGTTAACGACTGTTTCACCCTTCGCCTCGTTAGTGTATGGTAATTACACCAATGTATCATTCATTTGGCAAGAATATTAGATGTTTCTAACTGCTACATTTAGCACTACCTTGAATCTCTCACACCCTCAATGGGTTCTATGCTACTCACGATCTCCCTTTTTTTTTTCTCTCTCTCTTTCCTTGTCCTGGGGTTAACCACACTCCCTGGGGCCTTGGCTTTTTGCATGGCATATGCATGACTGGGTGAGTTGACTCAACACACACTCCTCTCACACAGTCTTGGCTCGACAAGTTTTTTTTTGTGTGTTTTTTTTTTTTTTTCTGAGCTCTGCTTTCTGCCTCATCCAAACTCACCATCCTCTCTCTGTCCGTGTATATGCACTTTCTGTACTGTCCGTGTCTGTGTTTGTCTTTCTGTTATTGTTGGTGTATTGTGTGTTCACCTGTTCTGGCCCCCCGCAACTCTCACCCTCCCCTCCCCTTCTCTTCCTTCCTTTCCCTTTGTCCTACCCCCTTTTGATTAAGATGTTTTAGGTGGCATCCTCAAACCGACAGTGGCATCCTCACCCAATCAGGACATGACCCCAAATGGCCAACAGCCCCACAAACTGGTGTCCAACGACCTGGACTCGTCTCTGGCCAATCTTGTTGGCAGTAAGTTTATAGCCTGTATTTTGCAACCATGACCAAACATTTAATCAATGGAACTAATTCTAATGAAAGCAGACTATTGGAGGTGAAATTTGTACCAAACAGTATCAGTAAGCGGGAATAGTATAATTTACATAAATATCAAATGTGTAAAATTTGACATTGAAGCATAAAAGTAAAATTACATAAGTTTTTCTACATTTTATGTTTTAATATGTAGATTTTAGTTTTTCGTGGTTGTACATTCATTACTTTGCTTCTGTCCTCTTAAGATCTGGGAATCGGCAACGGTGCGCCAAAGAAGTAAGTGAACTCAAGTAATATTTAACTTGTCCCTGATACTGCATTCTAATGCAAGGTTCCCACAAGTCCTGGAAAACCTTGAAAATCTGGATATTTAAAGACTTGTTTTCCAGTCCTGGAAACACCTGAAAAATGATTAAAATGACCAAATATCTTGGAAATATTCTATATTGTCCTGGAAAATTTTAATTGTATCTTAGCCCCTCAATCAGATCACCTACGTAAACCTAGGTTAGAGGAAAACTGTAGTCAAGTCACCGGAGACAGTAAAAAGAGGCTGTCGTGAGAACAGCACGAATGCAAGCTAACGTGTAGTGTCCATAAATGCTGACCACCTACCTGTAATGAATCACTTCATCATGAAAGGTCTTGGAAAAGAACATTTCTTAAAGAGTGGGAACCCTGTAATGACTAACATTTTTTACTTGATCTCTGTAGTGATCTTCACTGGAGTCAGCCTGGTGAGAAGAAGCTAACAGGTGGAACCAACTGGCAACCCAAGACTGCTCCTTCCACCACCTGGAACCCTGCAACCATGGTAGGACTATCACTTGTCTACGTTTGTCTGGTATTATTCCCCAACCAGCAAACACAGATCAGTTGGGCTTGAATTAAGTTTTAGCCGCCTTTTAATAGTAATTGTTGTCTTCCATAGTCTTTATAAGAATATGGTCGTTTAAGTTGGGGCTGAGGAAGTCAAATGACTCAAACTATCCTCTTTTAAATCCCATATCCCATATATATATAATCCTAGACCTAAACAGTATTTTTCTACAGAAAATTAACGGTAACCCGTAACCTAGAGATTCCCATACTTTGAACTTTTATGATCCTTTAATCTTAATCTTAAAACCGGAATGTTGTGTGTGTGTACAACATTTTCATGCACTGTTTGGCAGACGAATGTAGTTCAGTTGTAGGACAGACAACAGTGTAATAAGTGTTGCTAGTAAATGGTAAATGGACCTCTACTATTAGAAGCCACCCAGAAATATATAGAATTACCAAGTGTTTGTGAAATAACAGTAAACCCTGACGTTGGGATAGTAGGAAAAAGCTGTACATTTTTGGGGGTTTGTTGAGTATGTGACTGTGGACTAGTGTGGTTGCTACACAGGAACCTGGGGTGCTGGTATAATTTGGCCTTGAGCCAATATAGCGGCTGCATGGCTGTGACTGCTAGCTTTGTGCCTCTGTGAATGTATTTTATCATTTATATCACCAGTGCATGCCAGTGTCGGTCCGTAGTAGCAGGAAATGCTTAAACCATATAAACAGTGGAGAGGTCTTGCTGGCCAATACAAGAGGTACTGTTGTAATGGCATAAATCCAGTTTTTGTTGGCAACACAGCGGAAACAAAAAGGAGGACATGGTGTGTTGGTGATTATTAGCACTAGGAGCGGAGAGATGGAGAAGAGAGTGGTAATATAGTCATCCGGTCAGTCATTTTTGATCTTCTGCGGCTAATTACCTCAGCTATGCTTTGCTTAAACGCATTTGGTCTGTGTACATTTGTGATTCACGGTTATTGAAGTATTTAACTTGAGTTGTGTAACTACATATCCCAGTCATAGTATTGTTGTTATCTCTGCACTATAAATTTTGGAGCTTTGAAGATCGTGATGGCAATATTGTGTGTTGCATCTCCGGTGAGGAAGATATTGCATATGTAAAACTGTAAAATAAAAAAAATCTATGATGTTGTGGTCATTGTCACTAGACGGCGGTTTTGTGCAGCTTTATAGCAATGAACACAGCAGCACAGACACAGGAACCACCACTAGTTGTGAGCGGTGTCTAATCTAGTGTGTCCACCACCACAACTTATTTTAGAGAAATCTTGAAATTATTGAAACTGCCCGCCTCCTCATTTCAACCAGTCTTCTCCCACTGAAAAGAGCACAGCTACAACAGAGGGCTGAGTCATCAGAGTGAAAAATGTAAAAGTTTGTAGCAGAATGATACTTTATGTTTTACGACACCGTTAGGAATTGTTAAAATGTGGATTATTTCTGAAAAGGGGAGCTTTTGTATGCTGATAGCCGTGATAAATGTTTGGGTTTTGTCCACCACTACAGAGAACACTAGACTGTTAAGGAATTATAGATGATAAAGAGTTGTCTGACGTTGAATGCTTAGTTATATTCAGTTTTGATGAATGCTTGGTAATAAGGTGTGTGTATTTGGAGTTATGTGATGCTGGATGATTCAGACTAAATTAGTATATGCTGTAAATGGTGCACTGTTTTTAAACAAACTTATCTTATTAAGAAACAAGATGCACTTGTCTATTGACTCTGATGAAAAATAGTTTTGGAGACCCACACTGTGTAAAAGTTACTACGTGTGGTTGACTGCTTATGATTGCTGATCAGGTACACAGTGTCGTAAACGCGCAACAACTTCCAGACTCGCTGAGTTAACGAAGACAGAAAGGTTTGCAGTGTGAAAAAGTACACAGGAGATCTGAACGCAGCTGCTGACCGGGGCTAAAAGCTGCAGTCGCTGCACTTGACATTTATTTATTATGAGCACTAATATTTAAAGTCATTATGTGCAAATGTGAAAGTAAATCTATACTAGTGGAGGGCGGCTGTGGGGCTCCAGAAGGCAAGAGTGGCGTCATCCCCAATCAGATTGGTTGTTGGTTCGGATCGCCGCCGGCTCCTTCCGCCACGTGTCGAGAGTAATCCTTGAGCAAGATACTGAACCCCAAATTGCTCTCGATGCGCATTAGCATCGGTGTGTGAATGTGGTATAACATGAGTTCAGTTTCTGTTCGACTGGACTTTTGCATGCTCTGTAGTGAATGTTGTTTTGAAAAGGGTGAATGTGGCACCGTAGTTGTAAAAAGCGCTTTGAGTGGTCGGAAGGCACTAGAAAGGCGCTATAAGCAGTGTTTTTAGAAACCAGCCTTTTAATACCGTAAATCCCCTTGTGTGAAAGCTTCGCATACGTCTTTATAAGAATATGGTCGTTATAAGTTTTGGCGGGCTGAGGAAGTCAAAATGACTAAAACTATTCCTCTTTTAATCCCATATCCCATATATATATAATACCTAGACCTAAAACAGGTTATTTTCTACAGTAAAATTCAACGGTTAACCCTGTTAAACCTAGAGAATTCCATACTTTGAACTCTTTATGCATCCTTTAATCTTAATCTTACAAACCGGAATGTTTGTGTGGGTGTGTACAACATTTTCTATGCACTGTTTTGGCAGACGAATGTAGTTCAGTCTGTAGGACAGACCACAGTGTAATAAGTGTTTGCTAGTAAATGGTAAAATGGACCT